TGCAACATCCGTCTACATACTTTCATGCAATTCATGATTTATTGGGAAGGCCCAACCTGTCAAGCGTAGTGGATTTCAGTTGTTAAAACCATGGTGAAATGAAACATTGAAACAGACACAGGGTAAAATAGATTGAGGAGATTAAAAACCATAGAAGCTTCAATCAGATGCTAGCATGTCTGAGAAATGAAATGTTCAGAATTCAACCTGGTAGCGACGTTATTGCCTTGCGATACTATCTCAACTATGCGTGCGATTGGTCAAGGTTATCACAAGCTATTATGCCCCAGTGATAAAATCATCTCAGCAGTTAATGCTGTTTTTAAAATGTCAACTTGGAATCCTGGATGTTGTGTTTTAGAGTTTACGAAAAATGTGGCAAGAGGTGGAGAGTTCAGGTCTAGGAGACGCACAATATCAGAGACTTGGGTCCCAGACTTACCACTGTTAGGTAGCAAAGTGCCCTTATATGTTTGTTTACTCATCTGCAATATTCTCATATTAATAATGGCGCAAACACCTCGTAATGGTACTACCAACTTTTCATGAGATTATGCATGTAACTGTTTTACCTGGCACGTAATAAACCTTTAATAAGTATTGCTATTATGATTTTTAAGTCAATCAAATACATTATGGAGGATAAGAAACCAATTTTCTAGCGTGCCTTAAAGAAAAAGTCAGTCTTTAACACACAGCCATAACTCTTTGGTTTCCATGGCAAAATTAGAATATTATCTTTAAAAGAAAAGAAGTGCCTTAAAAAAATAAAATAACTACAAAGCTGGTTGAGCAAACTTATAGCAGTAACATTTAAAAAATAGCAAGTGAGAAGAAAAGAAAGAATGCTGCTGACCTAAGCGGATTCTATTTGTCCTTTGTTATAACTTGGTGTGTGCTGAGCAGAGTTTGTCACACTCCCGCCTCAGAAGGCAGTTGGTAGATTCCAGCCCAGTCTGTGGTTTTCGAACTTAAGAAGCTGTAAATTTTATAACTCTGCACCCTGTGGTCAGAGCTGTGGAGTGTTGTCTGAAGTCAGGTGGCTAGTGTGTTAAAGGTAGACATTAAACAGCTCTACTGAGGACCTGGAAACGCTTAAGGACATAGCTTGCCAGCTGTAAATTAGAGACCACTGCCAGTTGGCTGAAAAAGTTTCTGGACCCGGTCCAGTTAAGTAGACTGAATCACCGACAGTCTTCCCAAATGTGTGCGTTTAACAGCGTGGCTGTGTATCCTGCCATGTAACCTGGGGTGGCTTAGAAACAGCTTTCTTGTGATGTTTTAAAATTATGCGAGGGAGTTGTGGCCCGGGAACATTTATGTTTTTCACTAGCGCTGAAAAAAGCAATCAGCTACTCTTGACAAAATCACTGCAAATGTTTTTAAATAGATGTGATTGATGGGAAGTATCATCTGCAAATTATATCTCATCCCAAATGTGCTTCCAGCATTTGTAAGGGCAGTTGTAATCTTAGTTCTGTGGCCTTATGCACATTGTTCCAAGGGCCTCCTGTGTTCCTGATTTGTGTGGTAAGAACTGTGGATGGTTAAAATGATGGATGATCCATGTCATGTTGAGATATTCAGGTGTGAACAAAGCCACCAGATTAGGGGCTCTAGGAACAAAGGAGAAGCCACGTTGGACCACAGGGTCAGTTGGAAATCGTGTCTGAACCCTTGATCAGCTTAAGAAACGTGGATAAGAGGTTGGACAGGGCTGACGTCATAGGTGAGAAACCTGCAGAGTTGTGCAGTGCATTGTACTCACAGAGTCTCTATGTTTGGTTTAAGGCTCTGCGGTTGTCACCTTAAAATTCTTAATAATTTTTCTGCGCAATGAACATTTTCATTGTATACTGTTATCTTAGTGCCATCGAGTTGGTTTGGACTCAGCAACCAGGCATATATAGGTTTTCCAAGGAGTGGATGGTGAATTTGAACCACCGACCTTGCAGTTCAAACCAACCTTGCTGTTCATTGCTTATCCTACTACTCCTGGGGTTGATTTCTTTGACAAAAGTCATTCTCTTTGAAAACATGGAAGAAGGAAAGACTCGTGGAAATTCTGTTAGCTGAGTGGTTGGTCTTTTCAAAGGACTGATGATGACAACCACCAAATAAAGTAAGAGAGAAGGTCACTGCCATGTATTCCGTTACTGTGTTGTCTCCTGAAACAGTATGAAAACAGGGCAGAGAATAACTTAATTATCACTGAGAAGCACTTAATATATTGCAAGTGAAATGTACTAATCTTTTACACATTTGGTCTTGGTGCCTATTTAAAAACTTAACCTTGAGGAAGAATTTATGAACTGATACTCAAATTCTAAAGTCATCAATTTCTGCTAGTTAATACAAATACTGTCTTTCAGCCTGTTTGATCACATGTACAACTTTTCATGCACATACGTATATATATATATATATATATATATATATATATACACACATTTAGACCTCATAGCTTTGAGTCACTTTACTTTTTTTAAGTTGAGAGGTTTTTGTTAATTTATGCATTAATGACTCTGTTAATATGTCCTTCAAATTAAGCAAAAATATGCCTTAGAAGCAATGGGCTATAAAACCGCAATATTGTTGTTAAGTGCCGTCGAGGTGGTTCCAACTCAGAGCGAGCCTACAAAGGATTTCTGAGGAGTGGCTGGTGAGCTTGAACCCACTGACCTTGTGCTTCCAACCGACCTTGCATAGTAACACAAAAAATAACCCACAAATTTTAGGAGTTAGTAGTTAAAGTTTGCTTGTTCCTAGGAACATTTACAGTAAATTTGTGTTATTTTTCATCTTGCTTCTGCCAGAATAAGGAAATCTCTTTAGAGTTTGAAAGGAATTTTCCCTTTATTGCTCCTAATCGTCTGTTCAGGGCGATTCTTGCTTTTAGCTCCAGAATTTTACTTTCCTGCGATCTTTACTTAGTTTCATTACATTCCAGGAACTGAATAGAGAACTAAGTAGAACAGTTTGTCACTTAAGAGAGAACAGAAATCCTCAAAGCAAACTTCATTTCTCTTTTTGCGTTTTGTGGCTTCTTTGGGGAAATTGCTTATTATTATCATATTAGCATTTTCGTTGTTTCTGGGATGTACCAAGATTGGTTTCATTGCACAGCAAACTAATATCCACACCACTGAATCTGAAGAGTAAACCATAGTGCTCCTAGACACATTTAAACTACAAGCAAAGTGGAAAACATGTTGTAACATCTTAAGGAGTGGTCTGGATTAATGGGAGGTCTTTAGGCAGCTGCAATCTGCCCATCTGTAATTGAGGTGGGATCCCACCAGACAGACAGAGGGCCAAGGGTTCCTATTTTTGACTGGCAATCTGTGTTACCTCTTGGACATGAATGCCCAGTTCTAGTGGTGGCAAATTTTCCACAGGACCCATGGGGAGGCAGAGAATTGGCTATTTATATTCATGCTTTGAGCACCAGTGTGGGGGTGCTGGGGAGGGGGTAGTTAAGCAAGGAGGAGGTTTGCAAAGCAGACAGATCTTATGGGTTTGCCCTCACCAACAACCAAATGATACACCACAGCATTTGGGCACATTTTTGTAAGAGGTTCTGCATTCTGTCTAAAGCTCATTTCCTAATGAACTGTGTGACTTTGCACAAGTTAAAGAATTCTCTTCTGTCTGCATTTTTCAATGAAAAAATAGGCAACTCCCTTAAAGAGTTGGGAAAGAAGGGTTTTAAGGTTAAGGCGCAGAAACTACCAGCACAGAGACATATAGATAAGGACTTTAGGATCACCCAGCAACTGTGTGGTCTTATTTTAGAAGTTTGACCTAAAGTGGTTAGATACAAGGGGACTTCAAAAAGTTTGTTGAAAAAATGAAACTAAAAGATAATGAAATTTTTCCGTGAATTTTATTTGAAACCCCCTCATATGTTCTGAGATCCCCTTTTGAAGTTAAATCCATTCCAGTTCATACTCCACCCACATCCCTGCTTCTGTGTCTTGTGTTCCTTTGGACTCCCTCATCCTGTTATTAAGTTGTTAAGTGCTGTCCAGTGGATCCCGACTCATAGCGACCCTTGATAAGGTTTCTGAGGAGTAGCTGGTGGGTTTGAAATGCAGACCTTATCGTTTGCATTCCGGTGCTGATCCTACAGTGCCACACCAGGATTCCAACTCATAATGACCCTATATAGGGTTTCCAAGGAGTGGCTGGTGAGTTTGAACTGCCAGCCTTGCGCGTAGATGACCCTAAAATATTGGTGAAGTGAATTAATGAACCTGCTAAGGCAGAACCTTCTGATTCCAGTCCCTCTTCTGTCACTAGTCTGCTTCCTGGTCCCCCAGGAAGGACTGGGACAGGTCAGAGGCAGGTGGGCTGGCTGGGATGTCTCAGGGGCAGATGGTGAAAACAGTTAAAAGACAAATCTGTGAAGATCTTGTTGGAAGCTCTTCTGAATTTTGTAATTCTTGATAAGCAACTCGAAGAGTTTTGTGTGTGTGTGCTTTTGGCGTACTTCCATTGTGTCTAGCTTTTGGAGGGAATACAAATTGTAACTCAGGATGTATCATAAAACACGTTTGTTTAAAATTTCAACTAACCTACACAGAGCGCCACTGTGCGGTAGAACCACATTCTCTACCTTAATAGGAGAGCTGATTACCAACACAACCTGTCTTTCTTTCTTTCTTTTCCCAACATAATGCTTTTATTTCTTGTTTGTTTGTTTTCTTTTTGCTTTGCTAATGGTATACAGTTGTGGGTTGTGGATTTATGGCCAGTGTCAAGTTATACTTCCCAGTTCTGTATCTGTCTGAGTTACAGTTCTAATGGTATGAAGTTATGCATTTTGAAGTGTCATGAGAAAAGTTTAAGTCAACATATGACACACTTGGAAACAATGGACTAGACCAAGATTCAGGTCAAAATGTCATACAAATCACTGTAAAACATTTAGTGAGATTTCTGGAATTCCAGGGTCTGACCTGTATCTTGATCTCTGATTTTTATCTTACACTATCCAGATTCTAATGCAAGGCAAAAATCCGGGCATAGCTTGGAAGTATGCACTTCCGAAGGTCACCAATGGAACTCAGACCACAGCAAAAACACATATCTATGCCTGGAACACAGTACAGTCGGATTGTTCCGTCTCCTGTGGTGGAGGTAAGGGACTTGGCTAATTCTGCTTTCCAAGCTTGTCTCTGCTTACAGCGCATGGTCTACCACTCCTGGCCCCTTTAACACTGTTACATTTAAATAAGCAACAAAGAACTGTCTGATCATGCTATCTAAATGTGCTTAATACCTCCTCCTGATTCCGTTCATTCTCCTTCTGTGTGCTCGGCTTTGCTCTTACTGTGTTCTGCTTTGTCTTCTGACATTTTATCTTTGTTGATTGGGTTTGCATCTGTTCCATCTATAAATAAATAAAATTTATTACGAAGGTGGTGACATAGTCCCACTTTGCTCACTGCTCATCTGCAGCAAGACATTTAATCCTGGATCCATTTGTTGTTATTAAGTGCCATCTAGAAGGTCCCGACTCATAGCAATCCTGTATAGGGTTTCCAGGAAAGGTCTGGTGATTTTGAACCACGGACCTTGCCACTCAAACAGACATTGCAGTCCAATGCTTATCCTTCAGCACCACACCAGGACACTAATAGGGACTGTCACTGCTAATGCAAATATTATTAAACTGTTTGAGGATTTTTTGACACAGCAAAGAACCAGTTCTCCTGAATCACAGCTCATGTACACAAAGGGTTCAAAAGTCACACATCTGAAATTTAAGAGACAAGTATGCACACATGTGACTCACTGGGTGGCACAAAGGTTCATGTGCGCATTACTGACTGAAAGGCTGGCTGTTCAAGTCCATCCAAGGTATGTCATAAGAAAAAGTTCTCATGATCTAATCCCAAAAAGTTAGCTGTTGAAAATTAGCACAGTTCTACTCTAACACTCTTGGGGTCATCATAAGCCAGAGTCTACTTGAGGACAAGTGGTTCACACACACACACATGAGTACCTAGTAAGCTTGTAGTTGTATAATAGATATTGTTGTTGTTGTTACGTGCCATTGAGTCAGTTCCGACCCATAGTGACCCTGTATAGAGTTTCTAAGGAGTGACTGGTGAACTTGAACCACCGACCTTGCAGTTCAGACCGACTTCTCAGTCTATCTCATCACCCTGCATCACCACACCAGGACTCCATATAGATATAAGATAGATTGTTGTTGTTGAGTGCTGTTGAGTCGGTTACAATCCATAGCAACTCTGTATAGGATTTCCAAAGAGTGTCTGGTGAGCTTGAACCACTGGCGTTGTGATTCAAACCGAGTTTGCTGTCCAGTGCGTTATCCCTCAGTGCTACACCAGGACTCCTCTTTGGCAAAAGCCAACATTAACACTTTAGTCTAAATCATACCATTGCTTTTTAAATACACATAGACAGACACACGTGATGTTTGGCATATTCAGACACATGCCACAGGTGGCATTTTTCCTAAACAGAAATCCTGCTTATAGAGGTTTTTCATTCTATTCTTTTTCACTTCATGTTAGATGATGAGCAGATTTTCCTGTATCAAATGACCTTTGGGAGCATTTCTAATACCCTCTTAGTATCCAGGAAGAGTATTTGAAGCTAGAAACACAGTTACTCTTGGGAAGGGATAGATTCAACTCATTTTCCATTTGTAGGGAATACATTCAACCTAGGGAAGAATGCTGGAGAAGTGCATCATGGGATTCTCCCCTTGCCTATGTTTAGCAACCCCTTCACATGAATCTGACTTGACCTTGGTGTGTTCTGAGCAAACGGGAAGAAGCGTACATAGAAATAGGTTCTCCGGAAGTAAATTGTTGAACTTTGGGGGATTTCATTGTGGTTTTGATAAATGTCTCCAGAAAGCTAATCTGCTTCCAACGCCAGGAGCTAGAGTGTACGTCTCATTTTCAGCAGGCGTGACTTCGTTGTCCTCAAATCCTCTTTTAAGAAAAATTGTATAAATATAAACAAACCTAATCCAGAGAGGAAGCAGCATTTTTATTTGGGGAGCTGACACATTCATTGATTCTCAAACACATAAAATCCATGCTTCGTAATGAGTAGTGAACACTGAAAGAACATGGAATTCCACTTAAAAAAAAAACGCCCATCAGTGCTAGCTGAGAGTATAAATGCATACAGATTCATTGAGTTCCACTGTTTGCTTTTGTATGCGTCATCCTCATATAGAAGTAGAAGGTGCTTTGTGGTAAGGTGGATCTTAGGGTCTGCACATGATCCACCATTGGTTTTCCCATTTAATCAGCAGAAGTTTCACTGAAGAATGTTTTCTATTGAATGTATGCATTGTGAACAAAGGGTTGGTGGGATAGCTCTGTCAATTTAATTGTGTAACTTTTGATGTTTTATTAGGTTACATTAGCATAAAGGCCATTTGCTTACGAGATCAAAATACTCAAGTCAGCTCTTCATTCTGCAATGCAAAAACGAAGCCAGCCACTGAACCGAAAATATGCAATGCTTTCTCCTGCCCTGCCTAGTAAGTCATCGGGTCATGGTTTCTGGTCATGTCTGTACTTGTAGTCTTTATCATTGATAAGACAGCCTACTGGCAATTCTTCTTGTAAAAGATGATTCCGTGATAGATGCCATGCCCAGATATTTAATAGAAGAAAGAAGAAGATGGTTGAAATTAAAACGTATAATTGAAAACCCCAAATTTGCTTCAGTTGGCTAGCAAATCCAAAATTGGGTCAAGATGGTGTCTCTTGTCTAACCTCTGGATACTGGCCTGTCTTCTGTCAACTGAATCAAGCAGACATTTAAAAAATACAGAATCCTATAGAACTCATCCAAGGATCTCATAGTCATAATACACAGACCACGAAACCCCAAATGCAAATTACACAGTAGCAAAACTCAAACCAAAGTGAGAAAGACCAAGTAGAGAGTTTGTCTCTGATTATGGTACCCTATGGGGAACTCAGTGGGTTTGGTTTTGGATGGATTTTAGTCTCACTATTGTTTGAAATCGAATTTTAAGGACTCTTTCCAGCCAGACTGAGTCTCTTCTGAAGTGATTCATCGCCTGCCAAATTTATTTATGTCGAATTGACCAAGAGTTTCCTCTAAAGCAATGCCTTCTCCCATGTTTCAGATCATTTTAATAAGTATTGGTTGGTTTGTGGTGATAACAATCATACTGCATAAGTTTGTTTATACTCGTCTACGTGTGTGTGTGCATCTGCTTTTTCTTTATTAATACAAGTGTGTTTGTTTTAATCACTTGAGGTTTCAGCCGCCTACCAATTCCAAATGTCTAATAGTTAACCTGATTCTTCTCAGATTCTGGAACCAGCTGTGTCCTGACCACAGAGAAGACAAGGAAATCTGGGGGGCTTCCATAGAGCTTCCCCTTTTATTAAACCAGTATCTCTGGTTCTAAAAAAGATCACATGGTTATGACAGTATTGTTACTGATCTTTATGAGATAAGGGGTGTGTGTTTGTGTATAAGCACTCAGTACACTAGAATGACAGGCTCATGTTTTCTAATCTTGGCCCTTGCTCACCTTCATCATCCTGAAAGTCAACCAAAGAAAGACATTGTATGGCAGAAAGTCTCGTTCATATCCAATTCCTAAATCTTTCTTGACAGCTACGAACAGAAATGATATTGTGGGTCATAACAGATATGCTGGCTATTTTAAAGCAGCAGAGCCTCTTGTAATGACTCTCTGAGTGTGCAGGGTGGGGGCTGATTCTCCTGCTCCCTTACCACCTTCTCCACCCTGTATTTTCTGTTGGAATAATGGGCCCTTTCAGACACTAGTCTTCCCTTAAGACTATAATAGAAAGAAGGATCCAAACTGTTGGAATTATAAAGATGAAGGAATTTATCTGCTCTTTTCTCATAAATGTCTGCCGGGCCTTGAACTGGGCACTGGGGTGCAGAGGTGGAGAGCATACAGGTCCGACCATCGTAGAGCCCCCAACCACGTGGAGGAGATAGATGTGCCAATAGATAACTGAGTTGCAGTGATACATGTGATTACAATGTTATGTACCTAAACCCACTGATGAAGAAAGCTAATGGAGCAATTCATTCCACGAGATGGGAGGGGGAGGAGAGTTGGCATCTAAGGTAGATGCTGGGGTCTGGGTATATCATGGGAAAAGTTGTTATGCCATGCTGTTCTACCGCCTTCACAGTGTCATTGTGTTGTTATATAAAGGCAAGACGCTTGAATGTGGTAGACAAAGATGCCATCTCTATGGACAGATGTTGGAACCAATAAAATCACTGCGTATCACTGCATGGCATTCAGGGAGCGCACCGGAAGCCAGGAACACAGTTCCTCAGGGCAGGAAGAAATTTGACTCATTCTCCGTATACTTAAAAGACGTGTCATTTCACATCTTGTAAGATCCATTATAAGGAGTCCTGGTTTGGCACTGTCAGATTAGCATTGGACTGCTAACCCCAAGGTTGGTGGTTCAAATCCACCAGCTGCTCCTAAGAAACCCTATCCAGAGTCTTTATGATTTGGAACACTTAACACCAACCAGATGCATAGCGTTGTACAAATAAAATGATTTTTTTTTTTCTATTTAAAATCATCCATCACTATCAGTGGTGTGGCGCTGTGGGTTAATGTGCCAGACTGCAAAGCCATTTGAACTGCAAGGTCGGTGGTTCAAGTTCACTAGTCACTCCTCGGAAACCCTATATAGGGTTGCTATGGGTCGGAACCGACTTGATGGCACTTAATAACAATAACTGTGAGTGGAACACAGTGGCTCCATAGAATAAGCACTGGGCTGCAAACCATGAAGTTGGCAGTTCAAGTCCACCAGCCACTCCAGGGGAGAGAGATGAGACTTTCTACTCCTGCAAAAGATTTAAAGCCTTGGAACCCCTATACAGGGTCACTGTGAGTCAAAACAGACTCCATGACATTTAGCAACAACATCCCTGTGAGTAAGGAGCACTGGTGGCATTATAGGATAAGCAGTGGACTGTGAACTGCAAAGTCAGCAGTTCAAATCCACCAGCCTCTCTTTGAGAAGACAGTGTTCTCAGAAATTGTATACTTTGGGTCGGAATTGACTTGATGGCTTGGGTTGTTTGGTTGATCCCAGTGAGTTGGAATCATTTGGATGGTGGTGGGTAGGTAGATTATCTTTAGCTCCATGGGATAATGTAGATTTTGTAATCATTGACCTCTACTGTTGAATTTATTCTGATTGAACATGACCCTGTAAAACAGTGTGGAGCTATAGGGTTCCTTAGGCGATCAATCTTTACAGACTGCCACGTCTGTCTCCCTTCAAGGTCAAGTGAGTTTGAATCAGCAATGTTTTATTTAGCAACCAATTGCTTAACCATTACTACACCAGGGTTCCTTTGAAGTTGCTGTTGTTAAGTGCTGTTGAGTTGGTTCCGACCCATAGCGACCCTCTAGAGGGTTTCCAAGGAGCAACTGATGAGCTTGAACCACCAACCTTGCAGTTCAAACTGACTTTGCAGTCTAGCGCATTAACCCACAGCGCCACACCAGGTCTCCTCCTTTGCAGTGAGTTGTTGTTAGTTTTAAGTGCCACCACATCGGTTCTGACTCATAGTCACCCTGTACGGGGTTTCCAAAGAGCAGCTGGTGGGTTTAAACAGACAACCTTATGATTCCCAGTTCAGTGCTGATCCTAACTAGCCATAGGTTAGAACATCTGTAATCCTAGAATTTGTGTGCTGGATCTTCTGGACAAAACATCTTTAATTTCATACAACAGTCTGGTGAGAGAAACCGGAGGAAAATATTATGGGAACCTTAGGAAAGGCAACAGAAATGCAAAGGAATAAGAAAAACATATTTTTACCTTGTTGGTGTTGTTCAGTGCCATCGAGTCAGTTCCGACTCCCTGCGAACTTGTATAGGGTTTCTGAGGGCAGGCTGGTAGGTTTGAACAGCTGACCTTGTGGTTCATACACCAATGCTTGCCCTGCAGCACCACAACAGGAATCCTTGTGTTTGGTTTTTTTTTTAATTAAATGTTACCAGTAGTTTATTTCTAAAAGAATCCTTAGAACATTTATTTACCAAGCGCATTTTTAGACATTACTGCTGAGATTTAAATGGGAAACAGTTCTATCTGATTTGTCTGCTTTGTATTTTCCTTCAAATCATATCATTTTAATTAATCAGATGTATTTGTCCAAAAGGACTAATAGTGTCAGTTGATCATCATTCAAACATACAGCATAGTTGTGATGGAACAAATGGTCTGGTCACGCTTGAATAAAGACTACCAGGTTAGGTCTCTAACCCTTAGTAACTTTAAAGATTGTCCAGAAAAGCAGTTCAGGGAATTTCTCACTTAGAAATAGTCTCTGTAAGACTTCATCTGAAATTGTTCCACTCCCTTATGCATTCTCTTCTCTTTTGCTTCCTCTTCTTTATCTTTTCCGCTTCCTCTTTATCCTTACTTTTTTCTCATCCTCTTCTCTTCTATGTTTCTTCCTTTCTCACTTCTCTTCCTCTTCTGCTCTCTTCTTTTCCTCTGCTCTTCTCTTCCTTGTTGCATTTTGTCTTCTTCATCTCTTCTCTCTCTTTCTCATTGATCACTCTTCCATTAGTGCTGTATTATTCTTCATACTGATTTTTATTTGCAGTACTCATCAGAACGTATTTCACTTGTTCACATATCTATTTCTTCACTGTATGCAGCTCTATTATGAAAAAAGTACTGCTTGGTTTCATTCTTTCATCCCTGGCACATAGTTAAGATCCCAGTAACTTTGATTGAATGGGTGAATGAATTGCCCAAAATTCACAATGACATGCTAGTGGAAGGAATGAGTTTTTCCCTAGAACTGTGTGTTAATGAAAGGTGATTCTCTATAGCTGGACCACATCCATGTAGGCTTCATAGTGTGCAAAAGAGTAAGTCGTGTTCATTGCTTTCACTGGTTCCAACATCAATTGAAGCTTTCATCGAGTGGTTAATCTGTCACCATAACTACTTGTGAAGCTGTGATTCAAAGTCTCCTTTTCCCTTGTTCACTGAAAGCTGGTTGCCCGGTGAATGGAGTGTCTGCAGCAGGTCTTGTGCAGGCGGCCAGCAGAGCCGGAAGGTCCAGTGTGTCCAGAAGAAACCCTTCCAGAAGGAAGACACGGTCTTACATTCCTTCTGCCCAGTGAGCACACCCACGGAGATTCAAGTCTGCAACACCCACGCCTGCCCTCCAACATGGAGCCTTGGGCCCTGGTCTCAGGTAACTTGGGAACACTTGGAGTCATCCATCTGTTTCCCCATGGGAGATGCAGGTGGCAAAACTCTAGGAGGTGTCTTTGCTCCCCAGAGTTTCTGAACTGTTCACACCTTCACAGAGTTTATGTGATGGTGCCCAGGAATCTGCATTTTAACCAGCATTTCCAGTGAGTCTTATAGAGCTTGTAAGAGCTTAGAAGTATTTTTATTGTTGTGTGCTGTTGAGTCGGTTCCAACTCATTGCGACCCTGTATAGTGTTTCTGAGGAATAGCTGGTGGGTTAGCAGTCCAGTGTTTATCCTACAATGCCACACCGGGACTCTAGGATCCTCTTTGTTTTGTTGTTAAGTGCTGTCACGTGGGTTTTGACTCATAGGTTCTGAAATTACAGCATAGAGGTCATCCAGGCTAGACAAGTAAGCTCAACTGAAAAGCATTTGAGCATAGATTGGTAAGCAGAACCAGCTACTGAATTCTCTGAAGCAAATGGAAAACACCAATCCAAAGAAAAAGCCATATCATGGATACTGAACTCTTGCTTAAATGGGAATTAGGGGTAAGGTTAGAAGAATACGAAGAGGAGTTGGATATAAACTATGATGTTAACTCCCATTGAGAGTCATAAAGTTGGAATTCCCACCATAGCAGAAGTGCTCAACCAGGATGATCCCCTCCGTCAGCACAAGGGACACTTGACAATGTCCAGACACATTTTTTATGATCCCAACTTAGGAGGACTAGCTCCTGGCATCTAGTGGATAAAGATGAACATCTTTATCCCCACACCCAAGAATGAGCTGGACCAAAATGGTAATGGTGCTGAGGCTGGAAGCCCTCCTCTACAGCATCCCAGCCTCCAGGAGACCAGGAATAGCAAACACATCTTAGGGAAGAGCCACAAAATGCAGGAATATCATCCCCTGAGCTCTAAAGTCAGGCAGCGGCCCCGGCTGCATTCCTGTTGTTTTCCTTTGGAGAACACCACAGCCTCAGGGGTGTTGGTTTCTACAAAGGTCAGCTGTCCTTCACCATGTCCCCAGAAGAGGTCAGAGTAAGCATTTTGGATTGGTGATTTGTTACTGTTTTTGTTGTCAAGACATGGGAGGAAGACTAGCATGATCTGTTAGTGAAGTTTGGAACTCGGAGTGGGAAAGAATATTTTTGAAGACGCTTAAGTCAGACCCCAATTCCAACTCATAGAGACCCTTGTTGTTGTTAAGTGCCGTCGAGTCGGTTCCGACCCATAGCGACCCTGTACAGGGTTTCCGAGGGTGTAAATCCTTACGGGAGTAGAAAGCCTCATCTTTCTCCCGCGGAGCGGCTGGTAGTTTCGAACCGCTGACCTTAAGGTTCGCAGCCCGATTCGTAACCACTACGCTACCAGAGCTCCTTTGAAGTACTTTAAAGTGTCAGAGAATACATTCATTAATGCTGGTGTTCGGTTCCGTCAAGTTGGTTCTGACTCATAGCAAACCTATGCAGAACACAAAGAGACACTGCCCAGTGCTGTACCAACCTCACAATTGTTGTTACATCTCAGCCAATTGCTGCCGAAAAACTTGTGTCGACCCATCTCCTTGGGGGTCTTCCTCTTTTTCTCCTACCCTCTCCTTTACCAAGCATGATGTCCTTCTCCTGAGACTGGTCCCTCCTGATAGTATGTCGAAAGTATGTGAGATGAAGTCTTAGCATCTCTGCTTCCAAGGAGCATTCTGGTTTGTTTCATGTGTATTCCATATTCTCTGCCAACATCATACTTCAAATGCATCCATTCTTCTTTATTCATTGTATAGCTGCATTCATTTATGTTGATGTTATTAAATACCATCGAGTTGACTCCTAGCAACCCTGTATAGGGTTTTCAAGGTTTGGCAGATGGGTTTGAACCATCGATCTTGCAGCTAGCAGTTCAGCGCTTATCCAGCAGCACCTTTCACTTATAGGAAAGGAGAAACTAAAGAAATGCAAGTTTATAGCGTAGCATCTGCTCTTTTTGTCATTGTTGGTATTGTGAAGTGTCATCAAGTCAGTTCTGACTCATAGCCACCCTCTATAAGGTTTCCAAGTTTGAACTACCAACCTTGCCATTTAGTGCTTTATCCCGTAGTGCCACACCAGGACTTCATTGCCACACCTTTGTCATTGTTGTTGTTGTTGTTGTTGTTGTTGTGAAGTGCCCTCGGGTTGGTTCCAACTCATAGCAACACTGTGTAGGGTTTCCGAGGAGAAGCTGGTGAGCTTGAACTACTGGCCTTGCAGTTCAAACAGCTTTGCAGTCTGGCGCATTAGTCCACAGCGCCACACCAGAACACCTTTGTCAGGTGGAGTTGTAATTTACAATGGGAGAATTTCAATGATTGTTTTAGCCAAATGTCTGTGCTGGTCACATAGAAAGAGAACTGGGACTTCAAATGAGAAGGAACTTTAGTTCATGAAATTTATCCCAAATTCACATGGAAGTATTTTGAGAGTACTTTGTTCCTTTTTCTTTTTTAGGTGTTTTTTTGTTTTGTTTTGTTTTTGTTTTACTGTTAATCTTTGGCTTCTTTTGCTTTCTCTTCTCTCCTTCTTTATGTGACTCCCAAAACCAGGTGTGTGTGTGTGTGTGTATGCATGTGTGTGTGGTCTGTTGTTGTTTTTTTTTTTTTTTAAAGAACTTGTTCATAGCTAGTGTGAAAGTTGTCCTTTACATTTAGTTACTGCAACCTGTCATTCCACTTTGAGGCTATGTCTCTAGAAATCCTTTGGGAAAGCAATTTAAAAATTCCTCTCTCCATTCTGAAGACAATTGAAAATATAAACTACTGTTTGACTAAGAGTTAACCATTTAGACATTTAGAATGTGAACTAGTAGCTAGATTTTCAGTGGTTCCTACCCATGTTCTGGCATCAGGCAGAACTGCTCACTTCTCGTCTCTGTTTCTTAGTCCGCTGTGTGATCCATCTTGGGCAAGGGAAAGAAGCTGTCTGATTCTCAGTTGACTCTTCTGTAAGATGGGATCATGGCATTGTGAGAGGTTGTGTGACGTGGACTCCAGGATACACGCTGCAACATTAAATCAGGGCCTCTGTTGGTGTGCTTTGCTAATGATGGTATCTTGATATCATCATCATCATCATCATCTTGACTGTCTCCAGCCTCCTTAAGAAGGTGAAGAAGGGGAATTCATGTGGGCCTCTGAACAGGTTTGGAAACTGTGCCCCAGATGTTTGCAGGTTGGCAACGAGCCCAGGTAGGAGGGACCATGGTCCATGTGGACCTTGTGAGAGGAAGGACAGGTTGGCTGTTGATGGACAGCCCAGGGAGGAGACGCCTTCCTGGAGGACAAGCCCAGGCCTGAAGCCAAGGTCTTCTGTGTGAACTTGGACACATTTTTAGCTATTCATCTGAAAACATGGAGCTGTTTCCTGCCTTATCTATTTCACAGCTCTAGTGGAGGTCAGGAAAGTGGGAGACTTATCTATCATGTAGGTTTGCATTGTACAAATGCATCCACCAACAGCAAGTGAGAATTTATTTACTTCCCCCATTCCCCCAAAGCACACAGCCCAGAGACACAAGTTAAGGGCAAAAACTGCCACCCCCAACCCCCATTAAGGCTGCAGACTTTCATTGTTGTTCTTACACATGCGCATATGCACACCCCAAACCAAACCCATTGCCCTTGTGTAGTTTTGACTCCCAACAGCCCTGTATGATGGAGCAGAACTGCCCCGTGGAATGGAGTGTACAGGAGCGGACTGCCTCGTCTCTCTCCCATGGGACAGCTATTGGCCTCAGAATACTGACCTTTCAGTTAGCGACTGAGCACTTAACCACTGCATCATGAGCTTCCTTGCCCACATATGGTGGTGGTTCACCATTAACCAAGTCAGTTCCAACCCTTAGTGACACAGTTTAGGGTTTTCCAAGGTGGTAACTCTTTACGAGAGCAGAATGCTTCATCCTTCTTCTGCCAAACGACTAGGAGATTCGAACTACTGACATTGCGGTTAGCAGCTTAATGCATCACCAGTATGATATCCGGGCTCCTCACATACCCGTAGACATACACCTCTGCTGTTACTGTCTTGGTTACAGGAGTTCATCATCCTCTTTAATCCAGTGCCCAAGTCAACTCTGTCTTATGCCAGAGAGAGACACAGGTATACCAACAAATAGCTCGTGTACCATTTTCCAGTTGTTACTAAGAGAAGACTTCTGTGTCCCAGTCTCAGTAAAGCTCCCCTTCTGGCCAGACACAGTGCAGCACCCAAGGGGCATTTAGAATGTTGAAGGTCACAGCTGACCTGCATTGAAGACCAGCTAGGACCTCTCCTGGAGGAGGGAATGCGCCCACTTGTTGTCAGGGACTTTCTTGGGTATTTTGTTGAAACTCTGAAAAATATGTTTAGGAACACTTCAGTCATATGTCCTCGGTATTCGCCTGGAAGGAAAAGCATCTGAGACTAGCATGTTCTTTTCTTCTCAGTGTTCCAAGACTTGTGGGCGGGGCGTGAAGAAGCGTGAAGTCCTCTGCAAAAGTTCTACGGCAGCAGATCCCCTTCCCGAGGGCCTATGCGCCAGCCTCCCAAGGCCTGAGTCACAGGAGGGCTGTGTGCTGGGACGGTGTCCCAAGAACAACCGTCTGCAATGGGTCATCTCTTCATGGAGTGAGGTACGCATTTAGCCTGGAAATCCTTAGCTCATCCAGACTCTCAAAGCTCTGTTCTGTTCAACGTTATTAGAGCAGCTGTCTAGGGAATATCCATTCGTCCCCTCCTGATAAAGCCATCCATCACACTGCCTAGGCAGTGAGGGTAGAGAACTCCATAAAGCACAGAGGATAGGAACACGAGTCAGGTATGTGAGTGCTAGGATGGGCTTCTGTAATTCTGTGGACTTCAAGGTACACCTTGCCCAGGATTCAGAAGGACTCCTTGCCAAAAGAGTTTTCCATGTGAGCTTGAAGGCTGAGCAGGAACCAGGCGAGATAGAAACGGACAGGGGAGGTTGTTGCAGGCAGAGAGAGGGCACATCTTCAACAAGGACTGCAGTGGCTGGAGAGCCGTGTGTGTGTGTGTGTGTGTGTGTGTGTCTGACCCTTTGTCATCACATACCTTGCATTTCACATGGAAGACACAAGCTTAGGTCCACATTTGTTCAGTGGATTTGACCGTGGAGTTCTGAACCCTTACACCTTCTTTCTTGGCTCCTAGTGTTCCGTCACCTGTGGTCTGGGTGTGAGGAAGAGGGCAATGAAGTGTAGCGAGAAGGTCTTCCAGGGAAAACTGATCACTTTCCCAGAACGTAGATGCCGCAATATTAAGAAACCCAACCTGGACTTGAAGGAAACCTGTAACCGAGGAGCTTGCCCAGTCCGTCCAGTGTATAACCTGGCAGCTGGATGGTACACATCACCATGGCAACAGGTGAGTACACATGGATAATGTTGTTAGGTACTGTCGAGTTGATTTTCAACACTGCAAGGTCAGCATTTCGAAACTACCAGCTGTTCCGTGGAAGAAAAATGAGGTTTTCTGCTCCCATAAAGATTTACAGCCTCGGAAACCCTGTACAGGCTTGCTATGAGTCAGAACCAACTCCACGGCACATAACCAACCAACCAAGTAATCCATAGGGGTTTCTAGGAGCCCTCGAAGTGTAGTGGGTTACAAGCTGGCCTGCTAACCACAAGATCAGCAGTTCGGATCTACCCCCTTTCGTTCCTCAGGAGAAAGATAGGGCTTTCTGCTCCCTTAAAGAGTTACACCCTTGGAAACCTTCTACAAGATCACCGTGAGTCGGAACTGACTCAGTAGCCCACAACCACCACCACCGCCGCCAGTTTTTATGGGAGCAGACCACCGTGTCTTTTCTCCCACACTGAGTGTGTGTAGAACCACCAACCTTTTGGTTATCAGAAGAGCACTTAACCATTGAGCCACCAGGGCTTTTGGATTTAGAAGATGTATATTTGAGTCCTGGTGTGGTGCTGTGGGATAAAGCACTGGACCACAAGGTCGGCAGTTCAAACTCACCAGCCATTACTTGGAAATCCTACATGGGGTCCCTATGAGTCGGAACCAATTTGATAACACTTCACAACAACAACATATTTGAGTTGATGCTTTTGTAGGATAAACACTGGACTGAGAATCGCCAAGTCAGTGGTTCAAGTCCACCAGCCACTCCACGAGAGAAAGATGAGACTTTCTGCTCCTGCAAAGATTGAAAAGTCTTGGCCGGCCAAATATGAGTTGGAACAGGGTCATTATGAATTGGTACCAACTCCACGGCACTTAACAATAACAACGTATTTCAGTAGGATTCAGAAACAGAGGCAGTTCACCAATGGTTGTTCTTAGAGACCTGCGCATACATAAGGAGCAAAGAATCCAAGCTCCAGAGGGAGAATGGCTTGTGTTCTTTCTCCAGCTTCACCATCTGTGTGACCCTAGGCAGGTTGCCGAGTCTTTGAGCCTCAGTTTGCACATCTGGAAAATTGGGATGCTAATTCCTTGCAGATTGTTTAAATGAATAAACGAGATAAGGAGTATTTAGCAGCATGTTTGTCACATTGTGTAAATGTTACTGCTGTTGCTAAAACCGCCACTGCAGTGGTGGGTCTTACAGGAATGCTGCTCACCACTTCAGTGCTTTGGATTTCTGAACAATGTAACAACAGCTCCTACAGACTGCTGATTTCAGTGTAACAACAGTTAACATGATGTAACCATGGTGATGCATGGCACTAGCCCTATATTCCTGATTGTGTCAGGAAGGCTTTGTGTGTCTTAATGTCCCCATTTTGTAGGACTGACAGATAAATCTCAAAGAACTGAGCAGTTCAGGCAAAGACACCAACTTTTAGCTCATCAGATACTGAGGGTGGTGGTGGTGGTGTGCTACGGAGTCAGTTCCAACTCACAGCGACCCTATACAGGGTTTCCGAAGCTGCAAATCTTTATGGGAGCAGAAAGCCTCCTCTGGCTCCTGCTGAACAGCTGGTAGTTTCGAACTGCTGACCTTGAGGTTAGCAGCCCAGTTCGTAACCACTACGCTACCAGAGCTCTTTCTTTCATCAGATACTAGAGACGTCCTGTTTGCATAATCGACTTGGATAAAACTTTAGCCACATTGTTGTTGTTATTGTTAAGTGTAATCAAGTCAGTTCCAACACCTAGCGACCATGTATAGGGTTTCTGACTTTGCAGTTCAAACCACCCTTGCAATCCAGTGCTTATCCTCCAGTGCCACACCAGGACTCGTTTTCTTATGAATATTACTCTTCTCTTAGGTTTAGCATCACGTAGTCCTGGGGTGGCGCTGTGGGCTAATGCGCCAGACTGCAAAGCCATTTGAACTGCAAGGTCGACAGTTCAAGCTCACCAGCTGCTCCTCCGAAACCCTATACAGGGTTGCTATGGGTCGGAACCGACTCGATGGCACTTCACAACAACAACCCTATCTATGTATGTAGTTGACTAGAGTATGTGAGGCTAAACCTCAGAGAACAATGTCCTTCGGAATCCACCTCTGTGGCTTGGTTCTTGAGCACACTGTCCAGATCTTCAGAGGACTGAGTGGCTGAATTCTACCCATGTCCCTGCTGAACACCAGTAGAAGCACAAGTCTGTTTCTGTGCTTTATGTGTATATATAAGCACTGTGTGTATAAAGATATGTATTTACATATACACATATGCAGTCCTAGTAGAATGCTGTGGGTTAATGCACTGGACTGCAGGGTTGCTTTGAACCCCACTGTTGGTGGTTCAAGCTCACCAGCTGCTCCTCAGAACCCCTATACAGGGTCACTATGAGTTGGAACCGACCCGATGGCACTTAACAACAACATACACATATACAACGGGCCTTCAAAATGTTTGTGAGAAAAAAAAAATGGAGTTAAAAGATAACGGAATTTTTCTTCTATCAGCCCCACGTCATGTGTGTGTGTGTTTAGGGGGAACTGGAAACTAAGGCATGGAGGGAACATGAGAATGGCTGAGTGTGTCTAATTGGCTAGCCACTCTTCTGAGTGATTTGTATGTTACTGATGGAGTTCTGTTTTGTAAGGTTTCACATTATTTTACTTACTTAGCAGGTTTGGAAATTGATTCTTATTATTTAGAGCAGTGGGTTAACAAAGAATTGCTAGCAGGCCAAATCGATTCCTCCCATCCCTGGCAGTTTTTGTGAATAAAGTTTGATGGGAACAAAGCCCCTCTCATTTGCTTCCGTATTGGCTGTGGCTGCTTTCACAGTTTGAAGGTGGAGTTACATAGCTACAACAGAGACCACGCCTTCCACAGAGACCACGCCTTCCACATAACCTAAACTAGTTACTCTCTAACCCTTTGCAGACCAGGTTGACCAACCTCTGGTTTAGGTGATTGGATGACAATACTTAGATGTTGCCCCAATTCTGTAACTCATGTCCTTTTGACCCCAACATTCCTTCTCCACCCCAGTACCAGTCCATATAGGGATGTTCCGGCACGAAAAGATTGCACTTGCCTGCAATAAAGTAAGGGCAAAAAACAAGGATCACACGGTGAGTTTGTTGAGCAACCTAAAAAGTAGGGCTTTGAACCTGCTTATTCCCCTGGGATCCCCTGCTGAGAAACTGAACCTTTCCATCCAGAAAGATTGAAGAGAACCTACATCATCCAGGGGCGATGGTATCCCTGAGAAGGACCAGGGCATTATTAAATTACAACTTCTGATTCAGCAAATTCTCAGCAGGGGTGGAAGCAGAATGAACTAGTAGGAATCCCTGCTGAAAAGTAACTCAAAGGGGCTGCCTTTCCCTCTGGCATCTTAAATACAAAATAAAGCTTGTTTAGTTTTGAATTGTGAAAATTTTTTTCTTCACTTTCATGTATGTATGTATAGAAATAAGGAATCCTAATGGCATTGTGCATTAGGTATTACGTGATAACCCCAAGGTCTGTGGTTCAAACCCACCAGCAAAAGGGAAAAAGATGAGTCTTATCCCATAAAGATTTAGTCTTAGAAGTCCTGTATAGGGTCACTATAAGTCAGAATCACCAGCCACTCCTTGGAACTTCTATAGAGTGTCACTCGACGGCACTTAACAATAGGTTTGGGAATTAATGTGGAAAAAATAAGGAAGCTGACAATCTTTGTTCTTTCTCTTTTTTTCTTTGTCTTTTTGAGTTTTTGATCAGTGAAATCATTGACTTCAGAAAACTCCATTCACCCCCATGTTGTGGTTGTGGTGGTGGTTGTGGTTGTTAAGTACCATCAAGTCGGTTCTGACCCATAGCAGCCCTGTATAGCGCTTCCAAGGAGCAGCTGGTGAACTTGAACCGCCGACCTTATGATTCAAACTGATATTACAGTCTAGCACACGAACCCACAGCACCACACCAAGACTCCTCCTCCCCCATGCCAACCCAGAATTTGGCTGGTGTTTTGGACAGGGTTTCAAAGCTGTGTCAGTGAGTCATTTCCTTTTCTGAGTTTTACACTGTCCACTCCACTAATACATCCACAGAGTCCTGGTGTGGCGCTATAGGATAAGCACTGTACTCCAAGGTTGATGGTTCACACTCATCAGCCACCCCTTGGAAACCCTACATGGGGTCGCTATGTGTGGGAACGGAGTCACAGCACTTACCAACAACATTGCATCCACAGAGATCATCTGGAGTTCTTTAGTGACTCTGATGCCCTGCCTAGATGTGTCTGTATTCAGTTCTGCATTCTTAGGGCCCGCCTATATTTCTGGAGCTTCGCGTTCTCATGAGTCACTTTACTTGGGAAACGTACGCTCTTGGGCTAGATTGATAGCATTTGCCTAAAGTTCATCTAATTAGATCAGATGAGTTGAGCGTGTTTGGGTAGATGTATGTTGTTATCCAGGCCTGGCCTGTTGGGGATTGGCACCAAGCTTTTGGAGGGTGGAATCTCTTGTGATGTCATGACCATGTTACCTTCTATCACCTGCAGTGCTCAGTGACCTGTGGAGGAGGGATTCAGACCCGGGCAGTCCACTGTGCCCAGCAGGGCCGGCCTTCCTCCAGCTGTCTGCTTCATCAGAAGCCTCCAGTGCTGCGAGCCTGTAACACAAACTTCTGTCCAGCCCCTGAAAAGAGAGGTAGGTACACAACCCTGAAAAAAATATGAGCACCAAATTATCCCTCCCACATAGTCTCTGCTCAGCTACGTTCAGTAAAGCATTGCGGTGGCCACACCGAACTCACACACCATATTTACAGTAACGGGGTTTATTAAGGAAGTTAACAGATTCCTGCTCAGGATTAGAAGTACACAGGGCACAGTTCTTTCATCCAGGACAGGCTCTCTTCAGCCGTGCCCACAGGCAGGCCTCTCTCCGCAGGCCAATGTGACAAAACTGTTCTTGGGCTACTGATAAATTCTCACAGGACCCACTATTCCACCATCAGCCTCAGGCTGAAGGCACTCTCAGCTCTAGATCTGTGGGTCAGCTAACTGAGCAACCCCCAATCAAGTGCCCAGAGTCACCCCACTCTGCAAGCAAGGTTTCTGTCCCAAGTCACTCAGCTGATTAGCTCTGTGGGCTGGGGAGCCCCTTGCTTTGTTCTGGGCTCTGGCTCTTGGTTCTGCGGCTGCATGTCTACCACTTCTCCTGAATTACAGCTTTGTGTCGCTGGGTTGACAAGGTTCAGGGCACAGGCATCTCTGAGTCCAAAGGACACCCTCCACTCTTGGCTCTTCTCTGTTGATTGTTATGCGATCCCCCTCTTGTTTCTGAGACGACTCATTCTATACCCATGCTAGAGTTTCAGGTATTCACAATTACAGTAAACTCTGTGAACATCCTCAGCTGCATCATGTCTCCTGATCCCTATCTTCTCCTCCTCCTCTTACCCAGACCCATCAGGAAAAGACTTGTTTGGTGGGAGTTACAAAAACTAAGGCTAGAAGACGCATACTAAATCATTGTCTATACCACAGAACCTGTGCCCCGGTTCATTTGACTGGAGTGAAGAGAATCTCTCAAATCCTTACCTACACCATGGTTGCTTGTGTGGCTAGTGCATTGTGCATCTCTAGAGGGCGCCACCATTCACACCAAGGTCTCTATGAACAGCGCCCCCTAGAGGTCCACAATGCACAACTCTCTGAGGCCATTTCTGCTCGAAGTGATCTTGTCTGCACTGATTTTCAAGGAATGTTTAATGCTATGTGAAAAGGTTTGGGGCATTAACTCTTTCTTTGAAATGAGAAAAGGTTATCATATCTATTTTTTCCCTACCGAAGTCCATTGTTTTGAAACTAATTACTTGTTTAATAAACAAACGAGAATGGCTTCCATGTACCAGGGATTCTGGCAATTCATGGAAATACAAGAATGAATGGATAAGCGTTGCCTTGGAAGTTCACGTTTTAGCTGAGATACATGTAGAAGGGTGAGTCAGAAAGTATTGTTACTAGGGGGCCCATTCTATCTGTGCATGTTTATTCTGAACAAAATGTGCTGGAACATGTGTCTGTGACCAGTGACTGGCTACAGACAAGTTCACTCAGTACTTCAAAAATCACAACAGTGGCTTCCGAGGGCATCTGCTGGGCTCAGGAGTTGATGGCGATTGTTTTGGGGGTCATCTTTATATATTTTCTCAAAGGACACAGGACAATCACAGGGACTTAATTAAGAAGACATTTCAGTAAAATTAAAAATGGTACTGGTGAGAAAAAGGACTGACAAGTTGCGCCAGAGAATTTTATTTCATCCACTCAATGCACCTGCTCATCCTTAGAGGGTAGAGAGGGTTGTCGGGTGAGAATTTCCTTAGGACACTTAGCCCATCTGCCCTCCAGCCTTCACCTTGCCCTCTTCAGTCTTCTTTTTTTCCCAAATTTTATTCTCAATATTTCAAAGAAACATGATTTAAGTCCCTTAATTTGTTGTTGTTGTTAGTGCCGTTGATTCGGTTCTGACTCATTTTGTTGTTGTTGTTAAGTGCCATCGAGTCGGCACTGACTCATAGCGACCTTATGCACAGCAGAACAAAACAATGTCTGATCCTGTTGCCACACTTGAGTCCATCGATGCTGCCACTTGGCCAATCCATCTCGTTGGGGGCTTCCTCTTTTTCTCTGATCCTCCATCTTACCAAACATGATATCCTTCTCCAGTGACTGTTCCCTACTGACAATAAATCCAAAATATGAGAGCTGAAGTTTGGCCATCCTGGCCTCTAAGGAGCACTCTGGCTGCACTTCTTCCAAAACAGATCTATTGGTTCTTTTGGCAGCCCATGGCACTTTCGGTATTCTCCTCCAACACCATAATTCAAAGGCATCAATTCTTCTACGGTCTTCCTTATTCACTGTTCAGCTTTTGCATGCGTGTGTTACCCTATATATATAGGGTTTCCAAGCAGCGACTGGTGGGTTTGAACTTCCGACCTTGTGGTCTTGTACCGAGTGCTTATCCTATGTCATCATACCTGGACTCCACCCATAAGGATGCCAAAAATGCTGTTTTAATATGGTGTGAATCTGCTAGCATAGAATTCTTCAGGGAAGCGTTGTTGTTGATAAGTGCTTTTGGGTCGATTCAGACTCACCGCTACCCTATATAGGGTTTCCGGGGAGCGGCTGGTGAGCTCGAACCGCTGATCTTGAGGTTCAAACCCGTCAGAGAAGAGTTAAAGAGATGGTGGGAACACCACCCTTACAATTGTATAGACCTAGATGGAGAATCCATCAAGAAACAATAGCTTCACATGTTGATATTTCTGCTTACTAAAGGTTTCTGTGATTTTGTGAGAACTTTTTTTTACTTAACCTTCTATTATAGTAAATCCCAGTGACTAGGTGGCATCCTAGGACCAAATAAGTTTTTAAACTAAAATAAGTTCAAATGAAGTGCAGTTGAGGACTAACAGAAAATGGGCAATTTGATTATCTGAGTGAACCCTACCATTCTCCATAAGTTCATTTCATTTTAAAGTAATCTGATCAACACCAGGTAATATTTTTCAGTCTAATCAGATTTTCTTGTGCTTAAGAATTCTTTTTCAGCATGTACCTGCTGTTATGTTATTGTTGTTGTTTTTATCCAATCGCAGTTCTTACAAGGCTGCTCCATTTTTGACTCAGCTTCCAACAGTTTGTGATGGCTCCAATTCAGGGCTCTTCTTGTCCTTCCCTGTCCACATCCCATCCGTCTCTAAATTCTCACTGTTGTTTATCAGCTCCTTTGTACAGACAGCTCCAGGCTGTGCATATCAGTTTTCCCTCCTCTGCACTACCAAGTCTTGAACTTTGTTGTTGTTAAAGTGCCCTGGAGTCGTACATATAGTGACCCTGTAAAGAATTTCCAAGGAGTAGCTGGTGGGCTTGAACCACTGACAGTGGGGTTAGTGCTTATCCTACAGAGCCACACCAGGAGGCTTGTGGAAGACAAGGATACTAGCTGGGTAGAAACTGCTCTGAACTGGGCAATGCTGGAATTCTGCAAATCTGCAGGCTTTCTGAGCGGGAGGCTCGTGGAGCAGAAATAAGCAGCTGTGTTTCCCCAAGACCTTTCCTTCTTTCTTCAACATCAGTGATGTGTCATTACCAAACTTTAGTCGGGTGGCCTTCAATTAACCCAAGCATACAAGACCATCTCAATGACCACAGCAAAATGCAGTCCCCCTTGATACTGTCATAAAGACCAAAGGACAATAGCCAGCCCTAAGAAATTGCTCTAAAGTAACTCATGAGCAAGAGTGTGAGGTCCAAGAAGGCAGGTTGCCTATTGGTCTTATTTTCCTTTGTTTACTGAGCACTATACTTGACACATAGTAGGTGACCCCATGTGCTGAATGAGTAATTCATGAGGGTCTTAATAAGTGGCAGGTAACGTGTAAAGTCTTGGGTGGTCTTCTCCTTCATTCACAATGAACTATCTACTGTAGAGCCCTGGCGCTCATCTGGGGATATCAGAATAAGTCAGGGTCTTGTTCTCAAACTATAAGGCGGTAATGTCTTGAAGTAGAAGAAGCTATAACAACAGACTTAAGCGGTGGCATATTGTCTGTGTTAGAATGGCGGTCCGTTCTACCTGTGTGGATGAAACCAGGTGCAGGAGGCTATGAGGAAGGATTCTAGAATACCCAGCTGGCTCTTCTCAGGTCTTTTGTTGGAAGAGCGAAGTGTTTGGTGAAAAGCATATAGGACACAAGGCCAGGGGCTTCTTCTTGGCCAAGCGTTTGGCAGATATTTGGCAGATATAGGCAGCTCTCCTGTTCCCATCACACACATAGGGAGACTGGGAGCCCCAACCCACAGCCCCATCGTCCTGCTCCTTTGTAGCATTTGGTCAAGAGACCATGTATGAGAGTTGTTGAGTATATTTCTTGATAGTGGATTTTCTGAAGCATTAGTGGGTGGTAAGCATAACCTATGGGAGTCCTGGTGAGTCACTGTAGGATAAGTACTGGATCAACAAGGTTGCTTCAAATCCACCAGCTGCTCCTCAGAAACCCTGTACAGGTCACTATGAGTCAGAACCAACTCTGCGGCACTTAACACCAACAAGCATACCCATGGTGATACATGGAAGAAGATTTTTCTGTGAATCTTCACCAGGACCCTACTATGGGGTCAAATACTCTAGCAGACTTTGTAAGGGTCTCAGAGATGCAGCCCTTCCCTTAAGGAACTTACAGTCATCCAGGAGTATCTGGCCAATACACTAACTCAAAGTGGATCCTAGAGAAGACCATTCTTGCCCAGCTTGGCCTTATCCCATCTTTCCGGGTAGTGAAGAAGGTGACAGTCCCCCGGTCCCCTTCCCATACTCTCAGCCACTTTTTATGACGCCGTTACTGTGGAATGCTTGCCCTGAGTGTCTGGATTGGATCTGCTTCTTGGAGGACCCACCCTTATAACTCGGCATTGCATGTATTAGATGTGTAAAACCTGATCAGCAAACAGGTACACCACCAAAGAGCTGCCCTTCACTGGTTACATGTGATTGTCTGGAAAATACCTTGGCTTCCGATAAACAAGATTACATTAGGGGTTCCCAAGCACCCGATTCTAACAAGCTACTCCTCACAGAAACCCACATCTTCCAGTAGGGGAGCAGGGGAAATACAGCATTGACTATTGGAAGGAACAAGTCTAAAGTCATGAAAATCCAATTGAATTCATGCTCTGCCTGTTATTAGCTGTGTAGCTCTGGGCACGTTTTTAAAAACCTTTTTGAGCTATTTCTAAAATGAAGAAATAATGTGTACTTTAACAAATTGGTGTGAGGATTAAATAAGGTAACCCACCTTTCATATTTGTTTCAGTGCTTACTGTAGATGAAGGGACCCTGGTGTGGCAGTGTAGGATAAGCACCAGGCTAGTAACTACAAGGTCAGCAGTCCAGAGCCACCAGCTGCTCTCAGAAACCCTATACACGGTGACTGTAAGCTTGGAACTGACTTGATGGCACTTAACAACAACAGAAGGATCCAGAATAAAGTGTCTTCCATATATATGGAGCAATGAGCAGAAAGGGCTAAGTCTCCACCCTCATAATTAACTTTTTTTTTTTTTT